GGAATGAAAAACATCAGAAGGATTGGAGAATGAATCAAAATTGTTCATTCAAATGCCAAACCACAAGGAAGAAATCCTCATGTCAGTCAAGAGATTTTATACTATTGTGGTTAGATGGTGGGAACCAGAACGATATGTCAGCATGTGAAATAACCGAGGAAGTCTTAGAGATTAAAGCCAGTAAGGAAGGGGGAGGATGGCCTGATGGGGAGTCTGAAGTGTATTTGTTTTATGCCGGGGAGGATGACAGGTAAGGCACCTTGAATTAGTACAGATAATTTTGATGTTGTAGCTATTGCAGAGACTTGCTTCAGAGCGGGATAAGATTGGCAGTTTTACATTCTGGGATTTAGATGTTTCAGGTGAGATAGAGAGGAATGTAAAAGAGGTGGGGTGTTACATTACTAATAAAGGAGAATATCACAGCTGTACTGGGGGGCCTCATCTAGTGAGGTCATTTAGGTAGAGTTCAGGAATAGGAAGGGTACAATCACTTTAATGGGATTGTACTACAGGCCTCCCAATAGCACTGGATGATAGAGAAACAGAGATGTGGAGAAATTATAGAAAAATGTAAAAACAACAGGGATGTTTTGGTGAGTGATTTTAACATCTCCAATATTGACAACTCCCTTAGTGCCAGGGGCTGGATGGTGGAAATTTGTGAGGTGCATCTAGGAGGGTTTCTTGAAGAAATATGTACATAGTCCAACTAGGGAGCTCAGGTTGCAAAAAATTAAAAATAAAAATAAAGTGGTGCTGGAGACAAATCAAATGACTGGAATAACATAATACCATAATACCAGTCATTTGGTTTGTCTGCAGCACCACCTTATCCTCATTTTTTTGTAATTATCTCTCTGCCTCATTTAATCAGATTATCGGTCATCCCTCTGCTTGTTATTCAGCTGTTGGCACTTTATTCACACTGTCTGACACTCTTGATCACCTGCAGAAACCTATTATTTGGCGGGGTGACACTCCACTCATGCCATTTGTATGATCTTTTGCTCTCTCTGCCCATTAATCTCTCTGCCTATAAATTCTGTGCCCGTGTCCTTCTCTCTCACTTCACCTGACAAAGGGGCTGAACTGCAAAAGCTTGTGATTTCAAATAAGCCTGGTGTCGTCTGATTTCTGACTTTGTTCATCCCAGTCCAACATCGCACTTCCACCTCATAAAGGAAAAGGTGAGTTCAGAGATAGGTATTTTGATATTCTGAGGCATGCAATATGAAAAAGGAGGAGTGTTAGATGTTTTGAAAAGCATTAAGGTAGTTAAATCCCCAGGACCTGATGGGATCAATCCAAGAATTCTGAGGGAGGTGCTGGAGGAAATATTGGGACCATATACGAAATCTTTGTATCCTCTTTACAGGCAAGGTCCCAGAAGACTGGAGAATAGCCAATATTGTTCCTTTGTTTCCGAAGGGCAACAGGGACAATCCAAGAAATTACAGGCTAGTGAGCCTTGAATCAGTGGTAGGGAAATTATTAGAAAAGATTCTAAGGGACAGGATTTACTCATATTTGGAAATATATGGGCTTATTAGCAATAGGCAGCATATTTTTGTTCATGGGAAGTCATGTCTCACACACTTGATTGAGTTACCCACAAGTGGATAAGGTGGTCAAGAAGGCATATTGCCTTCATCAGTTGGGGCCTAGAGTATAAAAACTGATAAGTCATGTTGCAGTTGTAAAGAACTGTTTCGTTAGGTCACATTTGGAGTGTGCGCCAGTTCTAGTCGCCTCACTACCTAGGCTTTTGAGAGGGTGTAGAAAAGGTTTACCAGAGTGTTGCCTGCTTTGGAGGCTATTAGCTATGAGGAGAGATTGGACAAACTTGGTTTTGTTTTCATTTGAACATTGGAAACAGAGGGGCAAAATTATGAGAGGAATGGGTACAAATGGTGTTATGAAGTTGGGTAGACAATCCATGAATTGGAAGGCAGGAAGTTAGAATGTATTGATAAAAATGATGGTGGTGAAAAGAGTGCCATGGTCCCTTTAAGACCTTGCGCTTTGACTGTGCTTGGAAGTTTATAAATGTCGGTACACAGAGAGTGCCCAAATGGAAACATTTTGTATACAACAGCCAAGAAGCATTTTTTTTCCAAGACAACAAGTTTAAATTTGGCCAACTAATTTAAACAAAGCACCTAGAAACAGAAAGCCAATTGAATTTAAAACTGATGGTGTTGACAACCTGGAACCAATCATATTATAAAAATTTGATTATGTCATTTCAGGTATATAAGACAAGGGCATTTGGAAAATTGAAAAGAGCCATCTGTTGCCTGTTTGAGTTAGCACCATTCAGCTCTTAGAGAAAGCCCATATAAGTAATCAAAGGTACCATGGTATTTTAGCTCAAAGTCTTCATTGAAGAAATTATAGAGATAAAACATTCCTGACAGCAGAATTAATGGATGGAAAGGTGTTTGTGAAAAGACTGGAGATGATGGAATATTCCAGAAGACAGTCTGTGCAGACTTGGAAAGATTAAGTTATAATTTATTGTTTCTTATTAATTGGGTTTATGTTAGTGGGACTTATGTTTATTTAAACAGGATTCCAGTAGAATTCAGACCAGTTAGGAAGTAGGTAGTAATCTTAGAGGGAATTGTCAGTTTGTTAGTAATTTTATTAACTTGTTGATTGTTGGGTTAAATAAATTTTCTTGTTATTTATAACGTGGAGATCAAGGATTTTCTTTCTTTTAACCACTTTTTGATAGATTATGAGGGGAAAGGTGAGCTTCTCTGGGTCTTTTGGGGGTAATTAATTGAAGGGAACCTCTAATTCCATCATAGCAGATCGGGGCTTGTGTTTTGGTTTAACTATCAAAGGGGTTCAGCCATTCCCCTGTTGTAATGATGGTTAATTGAAATTTTTCTCCCAGGGTTGAAATATCAATTAGTTTATCAATTGGTTCCATAAGATAAAAGAGGGAAATTTTTTAAAGGAGATGTGAGGCAGGTTTTGTTTTACACAGAGCGTGGTAAGTGCCTGAAATGTGTTGACAGGGGAGGTGATAGAAGCAGATGTGGTAGCAACACTTAAGAGGAATCTTGACAAAGATACATGAATAGGCAGGGAATAGAAGGATACGGACCATGTAGAGGCAAAAGATTTTTAGTTTAGAAAGGTGTCATGTAGCAGCAGAGGTTTGGTGGGCCAAAAGGCCTCTTCCTGTGCTGTACTGATCTTTGTTCGGTCAGATTGGATAACGCAGAAGTGCTTAAGACAGTGAAATATTTTGCTATCACCCAGAAAGTGTCAAAATTACTTCCATAAGCTTTTTTAGACACACTAATCACTTTTTGTAATTAGGCCAGTAGATGACTTCATCTGCAGCCAAAGTTTAATGTAGGGGATGTGTTTTCCATTTTTAAAAACAGACATCCTTATGGACTCTTAGAATTTGTGGATGGGGTGTGGGTATTGTTGACTAGGTCAGTGTTTTTTGCCCATCTTGAATGGATCTCAGCATTTCTGTCAAGTGAGAGAAGAGATCATTGTCCATCATGAACTTGAACTTGATATTATTAACCTGAGTCACAGGAGTTGAAGTTTACCTACTGTGATGGTGCCAGTACCACCAGCTGGATCACAGCAATTATGTATAGATTAATGCAAAGTCAACATGCTAATAAAAATGAATTCATATTTGATTCCACAATAGAAGAATTGTAGTGAGAAAATTAGAAAAGCATGTTTTTTTACAAAAATTTGCATGTGAAAAGAAACTGGCAAGTTCCATTCATTGATAACAGCCAGAGAAATATCAGCTTTTGTCCAACACTGGATGGACTTTATCAATGTAAAGTCATTCTATTTGGAATAAAAAAAATTGAACCACATTTGGCACAAGGCCAAATGGCACCTAGAGAAGCAAAAATAGGGGCTTTCATGGAATTTCCCCAGCCTATAAAAAAAATTTTACAAAATGAGTAGACAGTCTATAATCATAGACTCCCTACAGTGTGGGGACAGGCCCTTTGGCCTAAGAAGTCTACACTGACCCTCAGAGTATCCCACCTAATCTAGGCATCCCTGAATACTATGGGCAATTTAGCATCTTTGGACTGTGGGAGGAAACTGGAGCACCCGGAGAATGCACAAGCTCCACGCAGACAGTCACCTGAGGGTGGAATTGAACCTGGGTCCCTGGTACTGTGAGGCAGCAGTGCTGACCACTGAGCCACCATGCTGCCCCCAATCTGCTGGGATAATTGCTGAAGTGCTTACTCAGTTAAGAATTGTGACCTAGAGAGAGACAGAAGCAGATTCAATTCAGATGAATAGATCCACATTGGAAGAAGTACTGTTCAACAGCTTTAAAATAGTCAAAGTAGCTGGCGAAAGCCCTGAATTTTTCCTTGGAGCTCAATGAGAAAAGTCAATGAGTTAGCCTGTGTATAGTCTCTGTGCAGCAAGTCACAGAAATGTAACACTGGTGACTTTGTCAATCAAACAAATTTTAAGGTGAAGAATGGGAGTGACACTTCACTGGAGTTGGTTGTCTCTAAAGGGCATTCTGGGAAAATAGGATGAATCTTTCTTTTTGCTGTTTATGATACCTTTCAAAATTGTCATTATATATAGTTTTAACCCTTTTTTCTTTGTGTGACAAACTTATGCTCTTTTGTTAAAAGTATATTAGCAGCCTCTTGTGAATACATTCAATGACTGACTACCGTGGTAATTAAATAGACAAAATAAAATTTCACATTGAGACCTGACTTGTTCAGTATTACCGTTAGCTGTGATCATCACAACGAACACAAAGAGACTTAAGTATTCAAAAACAGAACAGTGCAGTATTCACTTGTAGACACAGCAGTTCAGGAAAGATGTACATATCCGGGAGAAGAGGCAGTGCAGATTAACCAAAGTAGTACCAAGTAGAAAGGGCTACATTGCAAGAACAGGCTACACACTGTATTTCCTTGAAGAAAGGAGATGGTGAACTGTTCGAGCTGCTGAAGACTTACCTTGCCATTACTCTCCATGGCTGATGCTGAGTGGACAGTGTCTCCATACAGTCCAAAACGTGGCATCCTGTGACCCACCACACCTGCCACTACCATCCCAGAGTGGACACCTGATCAAGGAGACAAACAGGAGGTGAGACTGGGAACTCGGTGGGACTCCAAGAAATCATTCCCAACATTCCCACTCTCTAATCATTTCAACTCTCATCAAACATCTCCAATGCCGTCTATCATCTCCACTTCTACCTATTATTCCCAACGTTTTCCCCTTCCACAAACATTCTCACTCCCACCAAACATTCCCATTCCCACCAATCATTTCCAACAATCCAACTCCCACTAAACACTCCCAATACCATCTATTATTTGCACTCTCACCTACCATTCCTAACATTTCCATTTCCACTCCCACCTATCATTCCCAGCATTCCCCACACTGACCAAGAACTCCCACTCCCACCAAACATTCAACATGACCGGGCAGGGGAGCACAGAAGAGCTGGTGTCAGTGGATGGTGCAAAAGCATCCAACAGAGGGATCTGCTGAGAAGTGGCAGAGGAAGATTCTGGGTGGAGTCGGCTCAATAACCAGCGATTGCCCGGAGTGAATAAAAGGGAGGCAAGCTATAATGGAGTGGCCATTTTTGGAGTGGCTATTTTGAGAAGGGCTGCTTTACGGTTGATGTGCTGCTGGAGATTTAAGTGTAGTCTTTGGTGAATATCAGGCTTTGGTGGAGACGGCAATCAGCAACAAGGTAAGGCAGTCAGAGGAGGAATGAACTACTGCAGCTGCTGAAAGCATGAGGGCAAAGGAGAAGTAGAGGGAAATTCAAGTGTAATGTCACAGCCAGCAGGTAAACATAGAAAATAGGTGCACAAGTTGGCCATTTAGCCTTTCAAGTCTGCACCACCATTCAATATTACACTTGGAATATTGTGTTCAGTCATTATAGGAACGATGTGGAAACTTTAGAGAGGGTGCAGAGGAGATTTACCAGGATGCTGCCTGGACTGGAGGGCAGGTCTTATGCAGAAAGGTTGAGGGAGCTAGGGCTTTTTTCATTGGAGGGAAGAAGGATGAGAGCTGACTTGATAGAGGTTTACAAGATGATGAGAGGCATAGATAGAGTGGATAGTCACAGACTTTTTCCCAGGGCGGAAATGATGATTATGATGGGGCATAATTTTAAGGTGATTGGAGGAAGGTATGGGGAGATGTCAGAGGTAGGTTCTTCACACAGAGTGGTGGGCGTATGGAATGCGCTGCCGGCAGTGGTAGTGGAGTCAGATACTTTTAAGCGACTCTTGGATAGGCGCATAGAGGATAGTAAAATGTAGGGTATGCAGGGTAGATTGATCTTAGTAGGGTAATAGGTCAGCACAACATCGAGGGCTGAAGGGCCTGTACTGTTCTATGTTCAATATGATTATGGCTGATCATGCAATTTCAGTATCTCATTCCCACTTTCTCTCCATACCCCTCAATCCCTTTAGCTGTGAGGGCCACATCCAGCTCCCTCTTGAATATATCTAAAGAACTAGCCCCAACAGCTTTCTGTGGGAGAGAATTCCACAGATTCTCACAAATTCTTCTTCATCTCGGTCCTGAATGTCTTACCCCTTATTCTTAGACTGTCTCCCTGTTCCGGACTTCCCCAGCATTGGGAACATTCTTCCCACTTCTCGCCTGTCCATTTCCATCAGGATTTTATATGTTGCTATGAGATGCCCCCTCATTCTTCTAAATTCCAGCAAGTACAAACCCAGTCGATTCAGTCTTTCTTCATATACAAGTTCTGCCATCCCATGAATCAGTCTGGTGAACCTTCGCTGGACCCTCTCAATATCAAGAATGTCCTTCCTCAGAATAGGAGACCAAACCTGCATACATTACTGAAGGTGTGGCCTCACTAAGACCCTGTATAGTTGCTGCAGCAAGACATCCCTACTCCTATACTCAAATCTTCTTGCTATGAAGGCTATCATGTCCTCACTGCCTGCTGTACCTGCATGCAAACCTTCAGTGACTGTTCCACCATGACATCCAGGTCTCGTTGCACCTCATGTTTTCCTAAACTGCCACCATTCAAATAATCTGCCTTCCTGATTTTGCCACCAAAGTGCTTAACCTCTCATTTATTGACATTATATTGCATTTGCCAATTATTTGCCCACTCAGCTAGTCTGTCCAAGTCACTCTGCAGCCTCTTAGTATCCTCCTCACAGCACACAGTGCCACCCAGCTTAGTGTCATCTGCAAATTTGGAGATATTGCATTCAATTCCTTCATACAAATCATTAATATGTTATGAACATCTTGGATCCCAGCACTGAACCCTGTGGCACCCCACTCATCACTGCCTGCTATTCTGAAAAGGACCTGTTTATTCCAACTCTCTGCTTCCGGTCTACCAATCTGTTCTCAGTCCATGTCAATACATTACCTTTCATACCATGAGCTTTAATTTTACTTCCTAATCTCTTGCATGGGACCTTGTGAAAAGCCTTTTGAAAGTCCAGATATACAACATCTACTGATTCAACCTTGTCCACTCTATTGGTCACATTCTTGAAAAATTCCAGAAGATCTGTCAAGCATGATTTCCCTTAATGAATCTATGCTGACTTGGGCTGATTCTGTCACTGCTTTTCAAATGCTCAGTTATTACATTCTTAATAATTGACTTCACCACTTTTCCCACCACTGATGTCAGGCTAACCGGCCTAAAATTGCATGTTTTATCTGTCCTTTTGTTTTTTTTTTAGAAAAGTGGGATTGCATTAGCTATCCTCCAGTCCACTGGAACTCATCCAGAGTATATAGAATGCAAGAAAATGACCACCGAATTGTCCATTATTATGAGAGCCACTTCCTCAAGTACTCTGGGATGCAAAGCCTCAGGTCCTGGGTTTTAATCCCATCAGTTTCCCCAATATGGTTTCCTGACTAATAAGGATTTTCTTCAGTTCTTCCATCATGCTTGACCCTCTGTCCCTTAGCATTTCCTGAAGATTATTTGTGTCCTCCTTACTGAAGACAGATCCAAAGTATTTGTTCAACTGGTCTTCCATCTCTTTCTTGTCCATTATGAATTCACTTGATTCTAACTGTAAGGGACCAACATTTTTCTTCACCAGTCTTGTTCTCTTCACATATCTATAGAAGCTTTTGTAGTCAGTTTGTATGTTTTCCACAAGCTTACTCTCGTATTCTATTTTCCCCTTCTGAATTCAACCCTTTGTCCTCCTCTACTGAATTTTAAATTTCTCCCAGTCCTCAGGTTTGCTGCTTTTTTTCTGGCCAATTTATATGCCTCCTCTTTGGCTTTAATACTATCCCTGGTTTCCTTTGTTAGTCATGCTTGAGCCACCTTCCCTGTTTTACTCTTACGCCAGACAGGGATGTACAATTGTTGAAGTTCATCCATGTGTTCTTTAAATGTCTACTAATGCCTATCCACCGTCAACCCCTTAAGTATCCTTGGCTGCCTTATTCTAGCCAATACATGCCTCATACCATCAAAGTTAGCTTTCTTTAAATTCAGGACCCTAGTCTCAGATTTAACTGTGTCATTCTCCACCTGAATGAAGAATTCTACCATAATGTGATCACACTTTCCCCAAAGGATCTTGGACCACAAGATTGCTAATTAATCGTCTCTTGTTGCACAATGTCCAGTTTGGTTGGTTCCTCGACATATTGGTCAAGGAAACCATCCCTCATACGTTCCAGGAAATCCTCCATTGCATTACTACCACTTTGGTCAGTCCAACCAATACGCAGATTGAGGTCAATCATAATAACTGCTGTACCTTGACTGCACGCATCTCTAATAATCTAATTGATACCATCCCCAACCTCACAATGACTATTTGGTGGTCTGTACATAACACTCCCTAACATTTTTTCTCCCCTTGGTGTTCCACAACCCCGCCCATACAGAATCCACATCATCTAGGCTAATATCCTCCCTTACTATTGTATTAATCTACTCCTTAACCAGCAATGCTACCCCACCTCCCTTTCTTTTCCATCCATCTTTCCATCTATCTTTCCTGAAAATTGGATATCCCTGGATGTTGACTTCCCATCCTTTGTCACCCTGAAGCCAGGTCTCCATGATCCAAATTACATCATATCCATTAATAACGGTCTGCGCAGTTAATTCATCCACCCTATTATAAATGACGCATTGAGACACATAGCTTTCAGGCTCTTTTTTTTTTACATTTATTGCCCTTTTGGAATCATTGTGAAATGTGGCTCTTTTTGATTTTTGTCTTTGCTTTCTCTACCTTCCACCTTCACTTTTGTCTCCTTACTGCCTTTTGTTTCTGTCCCCACTTTACTTCCCTCTGACATCCTGAATTGGTTCCCATCCCCATGCCGTATTTGTTTAAACCATCCCCAATAGCAGATATGAAGAAAGATTGGATCGAATGGGCTCGTACTCACTGGAATTTAGAAGAATGAGGTGGCATCTCATAGAAATGTATAAGATCCTGATGGGATTGGACAGGCTAGATGGGGAAAGAATGTTCCCAATGTTGGGGAAGTCCAGATCTAGGGGTCACAGTCTAAGAATAGTGGGTAAGACATTCAGGATTGAGACGACAAAGAATTTCTTTACTCACAGCATTGTGACCCATTCATCATAGAATCCCTACAGTGTGGAAACAGGCCCTTCGATGCAACAAGTCCACACCGACTCTGAGCATCTCACCCAGACCCTTCTACTATAAGCCACCTAATCTACACAACCTTGAACACTACAGGCACTTTAGCATGGCCAATCCACCTAGCCTGCATATCTTTGGACTGTGGGAGGAAACTGGAGCACCTGGAAGAAGCCCAAGCAGACATGGGGAGAATGTGCAGACTCCACACAGACAGTCACCCAAGGGTGGAATCGAACCCAGGTCCCTGGCACTGTGAGGTAGCAGGGCTAAACACTGAGCCACCGTGCTGCCCTAAACCTGCAGAACCACAAAGTTGTTGAGGCCAGTTCTTTAGATATAAGTGAGGGAGTTGGATGTGGCCCTTGCGGCTAAAGGGATCAAAGAATAGAGAGAGAAGTGGATGCTGAAATTGCATGATCAGCCATGATCATATTGAATAGTGGTGCAGGCTCGAAGGGCCAAATGGCCTACTCCTGCACTGCCATTCTGTACCACCTCGTGTCCACACTCCCACCTATTATCTACACTTCCCCAAATCATTTCCAACATTGCATTCCCATCGAACATTTCAGCTCTCACCTAACATTCCAGGGCAGCACGGTGGCTCAGTGGTTAGCACCGCTGCCTCACAGTGCCAGGGACTTGGATTTGATTCCACCCTTGAGCGACTGTCTGTGTGGAGTTTTCACATTCTCCCCATGTCTGCGTGGGTTTCCTCTGGGTGCTCTGGTTTCCTCCCACAGTCCAAAGATGTGCAGGTTAGGTGGATTGGCCATGCTAAAGTTGCCTGTAGTGTTCAGGGATGTGTAGACTAGGTGGATTATAGGGGGATGGTGTGGGTGGGATGCTCCAAGGGTCGGTGTGGACTTGTTGGGCCGAAGGGCCTGGTTTCACGCTGTAGGGATTCTATTATAAAAAATTCTCAGCATTCCCCACTTCCACCAAGAATTCCTATTCCCATCAAAATTCCCAATCCCACCAAACATCCTCTATACCACTTTATCCACACTCCCATGTATTGACTGGACTCTCACATTATCTGCACTTCCACCTATCATTCTCGATACTTCAAGTCCCTCAAAATATTTCCAATCCTGCCAATAACTCCCAATATTCTGACTCCCACCAATCATTCCCACTACCAAAAAACATTTCCACCTCCACCCATCATTCCCAATATTCCCCACACCCACTAATCATTCCCACTCCCTTCAGACATTCCATATTCACATTAAACATTCCCATCCCAACCAATCATTCCAAACATTCTCACTAACCATTCCTCACATTCCCATCAATTCCTCCTAAATTTCCATGATAATTTCCAATGCTCCACTCCCACTAATCAGTACTTCCTAATTCACAGCAATCCATTTCCCCTGCAGTGGCAGACTCACCAACACGGATTTGGATATTATTCCCAGTGGATGGATCTTTGAGGTGATCTATTGACCGAACCATGTCTAGAGCCATGTCACAGATGTTGTGGGCATGATATTTGGTTTTTTCTGGGACTCCTGCAACTACCATGTATGCATCGCCAATTGTCTCCACCTGTACACATTGGGTGAGAAACATATTCTGAGCTTGAGTCTCTGAGCTTGACCCATTACACCCTATCCCCTATGTATCATCTGTTAGGACAGGGTATGTCAGATCTGAAGCAAGCTATGGAACTGTATAAAATTTCTGTTAGACCACAGCTGGAAAGATGTTATTGGATTCCAGAGGGCTCATAGGAAACTTACATGGATGTTGCGGGGCAGGAGAATTTTTGTGACAAGAAAGAATGGGAAAGACTGAGCTAATTTTCTTCAGAACACAGGAGGCTAAGGGGAGATTTAATTGCAGAGTATAAAATTATGAGAGGTCTGAATACAGTGAAAAGAAAGGAAATATTTTACTTGGCTGCTGTACCCATAACAAGGGGCCCAAGAGAGGGAGGTTTTGAAGGAATTTGAGGAGAAATGTTGTCAGCAGAGAGTGGTAGAGATCTAAAACTGACTACCTGAAAGCAAGGTAGAAACAGAAGTCTCCACAATCATTAAAACATCTTGGAAATACACTTAAATGCTGGAATCTACATGGCTATAGACCAAGAGCTGGACTTTTGACTGAATGGTTGCTTGTTGACCAGTGCAGACAATGGGCTGAACAGCCTCCTTGAGTGCTGTAAATTTCCATGATTCTCAAACCAAATAAACCATACCTGCTCAGGTGAGATTCAAGTATATCCTTTCGCCTGGTGTCTGACCAGTGCCACAATACAGACCGAGAACAGACTCAGTCCTTCTTGAGTTGGGAGGGTCTGCCAGTATCAGAGCCTCACCCACTCCAATTGTTCCCACTGTCCCTCCCCCCTCACATTGACCTCCCTCCCCCCAAACACTGATACCCCTCACACTGACACCCCACACACCAACATCCCCACACTGGCCTTTCCCCTCACATTGACACCCCTCCACACTAACACCTGCCAATTACTTACACTGATGCCCCGATCACATACTGACCTCCCCCTTCACATTGACTTCTATTAGAGCTGCCATGCTTGATGTAAACAAAAATGTGGCTGAAAATGGTTTTCAGCTGACTTAAAATGGCTGAGGAAGATTTTTAGCTGAAATAGCAGGTTGCACAGTATGCTATTTCAAATCAGGCTGTTAGATAGAATAATTAGATGCCTTCAATCGTGTAAATCCAAGGTAACTGGATAAAGATAACACACAAAGAATCCTATGAAATGTATACAGTGGGCTCTGTTACATAGAAATAAAGTGCACCTGCTGCTCATATAGAGATAAGTTTGATGAGGAACATCATGAGAAATGCTGTAGAAGCCCCACTTGGCAAGTTCAAAGTCTGGTATTGGTCATGGGATGAAGGGAAGGATCTAATCTACATCAGTTAAGACCCCCAGGTAATTGTAGCCGCAGATGATATATATAAAATGGAGTTTTAAGTAATGGAAATAGATTCCCATATAGATATTTAGTCTAAGGCAGATGGGAGTCCCATTGGTTTTGGCAGGGGCATACTGAGTAACTAGTATACTAGCTGTAACTTGGAATGCAATTGAAAAAGATGTATTGTGAAGGCTGAAGATAAGTGATAAGGACTTCTGGTAAACTCTGAGATCATGGGAAGAACTGGAACTATTTGTCAACTGATCAAGCAGTCACATGATTAAGCTAGTTGATTACATAGACATCCAATCATGTTGGGGAGGCAATGGCCTAGCTGGACTGTTAATTCAGAGACCCAGGTAAAGATTCTGGGGACCTGGGATCAAATCCTGTCATGGTGGAAATGAATTCAATAAAATATCTGGAATTACGAATCAAATGATGACAAGGAACCCATTGTTGATTTAGGGAAGGAAACTGCCATCCTTACCTGGTCTATGTGGTTGACTCTGGGCAATAAATACTGGCCTAGCCAGCAGTGCCCTCAACCCATGCTTGAATAAAACAAATTAATAATATGATTGACTTGTAATAGCCAAAGCCAGGATAAAAGCAAATGAATATTCATGTTTCCCTTTGTTTAGTGAAGAAGCTTCTGGATCCCCAGAGGTATAAAATAATAAAAACCTTTTAACAATGATGGGTGTTGAGTGATTCATTTAATCATTCTGCTCCAACTCTGACACCCAGCAATCTCGCGGGCTGTCCCTCTCCCTCACACTGTCATCCCTCTCACTAATACTCTCAGTCACTCACACCAGTGATCCTCCTCACACTGATCCATCCCACGATGAACCCGAAAACCACACACCCAACACTGACCCTCCAACAGTTGGGAAAATGCTAGAGTCCATTTGCCAATTCTTTGACAAATTTGTGCAACTTCTTTGAGGATTGGCAGGTGGTACAGATTTGGATTTTCAGAAAGAACATGTTTAAAAACAGCAAAGTCTTGTTACATCTGTATAGAGAATTGGTGAGGACACAACTGAAATACTGCATATAATTTTGACCCTCTTTTGGGAAAAAATACCATCATTGGAAGTTGCTCAAAAACAATTCACTAGGCTGATTTTTGGGATGACTTATCCAATAGTTAAAAATGTTAGACCTTTTTTCATGAAAGTTTAGAAGAATGAAGGGTAATCTTATTGAACATATAGGATTCTGAGGGGACTTGACTGGGTAGATGTTGAGAAGATCTTTACAGTATTGCAGGAATATTGAGCTAATGGATGTGATTACAGAAGAAGGGGACAGTTGTTTAAACCTGAGATGCAAAGGTGTTTCTTTGATCAGATGATAGTGAATGTCTGGAATTCTCTAACCGAGAGGTTTGCAGAGATAGATACTTTCAGCCATCTAAAGAGGAGTTGAGAGCTTTGAGGAGCTGAAAGAAGAGCTGAGGCCTCGGGCAGTTTCAGCAATGACCTTGTTGAATGTCAGGGCAGGTTTGAGGAGCTGAATGGCATATTCATAGAGTCATAGAAATGTTCAGCACAGAAACAGACCCTTTGGTCCAACTTGTCCATGCCAACCAGATCTCCTAAATTAATCTAGTCCATTTGCCAGCATTTGGCCCATATCCCTCTAAACCCTTTGTATTCATATACCCACCCAGATGCGTTTTAAATGTTGTAATTGTACCAGATTCCACCACTTCCTCTGGCAGTTCAATCCTGATACTATTTCTCATGTGCTGACCCTCTGGTTGCAATGCCCTCTTCAGTACTGTATTACTGCATCATCCATGACTTTAGTAAGGTCTCTGGGGTTTGGACTTGAATCTGAAACCTCATTTCAGTTTTTCTTTGGCCACAGAAGGGGTGCTAGAGACTGGAGAACAGCCAATGTGGTACTGTTATTCAGAAGGAAGCAAGAAATAAATCAGGAAACTTCAGGCCAGTCAGTCTAACCTTAATGGTAGGGAAACTATTGGAAACAACTCTGAGAGATAGAATTACTCTGCATTTGAAGAGACAGGAATTAATCAGGAACAGTCAGCGTAATTTTGTTACTGGGAGGATTAAGTCTGGTGAGCTTGAATGAATTTTTCAAAAAGGTGACCACGTGTAGATGGGGACAACAGTTGGCTGAGTGGCAGTAAACAGATGGTTGAGGTCTGTTTTCCTGACTGGAAGTCTGTGTCCTGTGGGGCCCCATGGGGTCAGTGTTGGGCCCTTGCTATTTTGTAACTTGTCAGTAGGAGGGTTGGTTAATAAATTTACTGATGCTATTTACTACCCCGCCAATTTTTGTATCAAGCAGGATAGCCTTAGACCTCAAGAAGACATAAATGGGCTGGTCAGGTGGGTTAATCAATGGCAAATGGAATTCAGTCCAGATAAATGTGAGGTGATGCACTTGGGCAGGACAAACAAGGCAAGGCAATATATGATGAATGCCTCCCACGGTTCCACCAATGAGGATCAGAGGGACCTTGGTATGCATATACACCAGTCCCTAAAAGTATCAGAACAGGTGGATAAATGGCCAGGAAGGTATATGGTATACATGCCTTTTTTAGTTGAGGTATAGAGTTTAGGAGCAGAGAGGCTATGCAAGAAGTGTATAAAATGTGGTTAGGCTGCAGATAGAGTATTGTTCTGAAATCTATATTATGGGAGGGATATGATAGCCCTGCAGAGGGTTCAAAGTAGAGTTACCAGGCTGGTGCCTGGGCTGGAGAGATGAACAGAGATTGGATAGACTAGGGTTGTTTTCCTCAACACAGAAGACTGAGAGGGGACATGTTTGAGATATATAAAATTGAGGGACATATATATGTAGACAAGAAAAAACAGTTTGATGGAGGGAATAATGACCAGGCCCATAGATCTGAGGTAAGGGACAGAAGGCTTAGAGGAGATGTGAAGAAAAACATTTTCCCCCAGAAGCTGGTGAGAATCTGGAACTCACTGCCTATAAAGGTGGTGGGGCAGAAACCCTCAGAACAATTAATAAGTGTTTATATGTAGCCTTGCAATGCCAAGGCATACAAGACTATTAGGCCAAGTGCTGGAAAATGGATTTAGAATGGTTAGGTGGTTGTTTTTGACTGGCATGTATGTGATGGACTGAAGGACCTTGTTTCTGTTTTGTAGACCTCAATGGTGCTATGTCTGGGAACTTGGAGGTAAAGGTGCTATCCACCGAGAGACAGCTGACACAAACCAATAAATGCAAGACTGAGATAATGATGATGCTTTCATTAATACAGAGCAGAATTTATTCCCAGTTTGAGGTGGTGAGGGTTTACAAAAAAGGGCTCATTTACAGGTTCCAACTAAACTGGAGGGGCACCAATATACTTGTGGGGAGGCTTGCTAATGCTACTCAGGAGGGTTTAAACTGGTGTGGTAGAGGGGTGAGAATCAAAGCAGTAGCTCAGCATGTGGAGTGATTGAGGAGAAGGTAGAGGTTAATCAAGTAAGTCTAATAGGAAAAACAGGCAGGACTGGGGTAAAGAACATGATGTGACTGGCATATGAAGTGTATTTATTTTAATGCGAGAAGTATAACAGATAGAGCAGATGAGCTCAGAGGCTGGATTAGTATGTGTGGTATGATGTGGTAGCCATTACAGAA